TCGACTTGATGCTCTTTAAACGGCCATAACTCCAGTAAATTACAGTGCAAACTTAAAAATCAGTACGCCATTCGAAAGAGCGTTAAATTTTCCATCTCCCTGATGCAAAATCAAATTTTATTACGTAGGTTTAATAAGGGAAAAATTAGGTCAAACTTTACATTGTGACCATTTGTAAAAATGTCACTTTTTTTCTATCCGTTTTTCAGTTTCAAAGATATAGTTGTTTGGCGGGCACTCTTCGGGAAAAACTTCCTCGAAGTCTCGGCTATTGAATGGTATAACCAAGCAAAAGTCTACGGTGGTATTTTAGGGAGAAAATAACGTTTGAATGGAGAAAAGCGGACGTTTTTAAGTGAAAATCGACATTTTTCAACAAAAATCGACTTGTCACTTTAAAATTAGCTTGTCATCGGGTTTGATGTATTTTTTGGTGACACTCTCGAGTCTCCCCAATTAGGAAAAAACTGTTTTTTTTACACCTCAAGCCTCTCCCAGCCGCGTATAGAGCCTGAGTAAGAGGTGAATAATAATTGTTTTTGAACATGTATCCATAGAATTTTCATTTTTAAAAACTATTTAATCAAACTCTACCTCGGTGTACCGATAAATGATATGGAGATTGCAACAGGATCGATTTCACAAATCAAAAAATCGATGTTTTCGGCACAGGAGATCGGATAAAAGAGTTTAAATTTGAAAAAAATAATTTATTGGAAATAAAACAAAACATTGAGGTGTAAAAAAAACAGTTTTTTCCTAATTGGGGAGACTCGGGAGTGTCACCAAAAAATACATCAAACCCGATGACAAGCTAATTTTAAAGTGACAAGTTGATTTTTGTTGAAAAATGTCGATTTTCACTTAAAAACGTCCGCTTTTCTCCATTCAAACGTTATTTTCTCCCTAAAATACCACCGTAGACTTTTGCTTGGTTATACCATTCAATAGCCGAGACTTCGAGGAAGTTTTTCCCGAAGAGTGCCCGCCAAACAACTATATCTTTGAAACTGAAAAACGGATAGAAAAAAAGTGACATTTTTACAAATGGTCACAATGTAAAGTTTGACCTAATTTTTCCCTTATTAAACCTACGTAATAAAATTTGATTTTGCATCAGGGAGATGGAAAATTTAACGCTCTTTCGAATGGCGTACTGATTTTTAAGTTTGCACTGTAATTTACTGGAGTTATGGCCGTTTAAAGAGCATCAAGTCGA